CGGGAGGGGGGCGGCGGCGCTGGAAGTGGCGACAGCGGTTCCGCGGGACGTGGTGCTGTTCCGCCACGACCGGGACCGATTCTTCCGTTTGGCCGGATTCTTTTGCGCAGGGCAAGGCCTTTTCTGGACTTATCTGGCTCATTTCGCCTTCACGGCCCTTCGTCCCGCCGCGGGCCCCGGTCCCGACGATCCCCTCCGGCCCCGCGATAACAAATGGCGCTTTGGATTCACCGCCTCCTGCCTCACCCTCGGTACCGGGGAGGGGGAGCTCCGGGTGCGGTGGCGGGGACCAGAACCGGCCCCGGGGCCTCGCTGACCCCCTCTCCCCGTTCTCCCGTTCCCCTTGCCGCAGGCTCGTTGATCGTGGCAGCCGGTTGCCTCTTCCCGCTCCGCGCCGTCCGCCGGATAACGCTGCTGCGGGGAGGAACGGAGGTGACCATCAGCACCCACGGACCCTTGGGGCTGGGCCGCGGCCCCACCGTCACCGTCCCCTTACGCCACGTCTCCTGCCGCGCTCACCGCTCCGAGGTCCCGGCCGCCGTCCCCCTCAAGGTGAAGGGACGCCCCTTCTTCTTTCTGCTGGACAAGCGGGGACAGCTCTGCCACCCCCGCCTCTTCGACCTCACCGTCGGCGCCTACCGCAAGCTTTAGGGGCGGGGGGGAACGCTCGCCCCTCGGCGCCTGCGAATAAACCCTGAGCCGCACCCCCCGCCTCCGGCTGCTTTGGGGGCGAAGGGCTGGGGACACCCCGGCCCCCCCGTTATTGCGCTCGGGGCCGCAGCGCGGCCACGCTGGCCCTCGTCGCCGGCAATGCTCGTCCTCAGCGGCCGGGCCTCGGTCTCTGCCCGTGGAGGGGAGCTGGGGCCCGAAGTGGGGTGGCTCTGCGCCCCCCGGCTGCGAGGAGGGGCTCCCCTCGTCCCCTTCCCCGGCCTTGTCCCCTTCCCTGGCCTCGTTAGCCTCATTGGCCTCGTTAGCCTCGCTGGTCTCGTCCCCTTCCCCGGCCTCGTTACCTTCACTGGCCTCGTTAGCCTTGCTGGCCTCGTCCCTCCCCAGGCCTCGTTAGCCTTGCTGGCCTCATCCCCTTCCCTGGCCTCGTTGGCCTCACTGGCCTCGTTAGCCTCGCTCTCCTTGTCCCCTTCCGCAGGCTTCGTTAACCTCATTGGCCTCGTCCCCTTCCTCGGCCTCGTTAGCCTCCCTGGCCTCGTTAGCCTTGTTAGCCTCACTGGCTTCCTCAACTGGAGATCTGCAAGGCAGCGACGGAGCCTTCGCGCTGTCCTCGTGCTCCCTTGGAGCCATCATCATCATCCTCCGCACTGTCCGTGGGGGCCGGAGCGCTCTGGGGACGCCCCCTCCCCTTGCCCCCCCCCCCCCCTCTTGCCACCCTTGGCCTCCTGCTACCTCTGCCTCCTAAGACCCCTCTGCCTTCCTCTTCCCTCCTCTTCTCACGCTCTTCTGCTCCACCTC